CTCCTGAATAAATGTCATTTTCTTTTAGAGAGTCTCTCATTTAGGTTTGACTGACAGTCTTTTTACGATAGAGCTGTTCTGTGATGAACTGGGCTGTTTGCGGGTAGAGATCCTTATTGGAGGTACCTGACTTATGCAGAGAGATTGTAGGTGAATTGTAATTCTTGGATGAGCAGGACCTCCCATATATCATCTTATATGGGTGCAGTGACTTTTTAAAATAACAGTTTTATTGAGGTATAATTCACATATCATACTATTCACCTACTTAAACTGGGCACTTCAATTTTTTTGTATATTATACTGTTTTAAAAATTATAAAATGTATATAACATAAAATTTTTAAAATAGTATTTAGTTGTGGCCAGTATTATCAAAGATAAGTATTTTTCTGTTCCTGGTGATTTGGCCAGGAAGTCATTGGAAAGCTGGTATTATATTGATCATGTTCGGGGGCTTGAAAATGCATGGATATGGAGGCCTACGTTGGGTCTTCTCCCTGCTTCGTAGGATTCATGAGGTTATTAATCGCTTCTGTGCTAATTTTTATTTTGAAGACTTGTTCACACAGCCACAGTTGTGAATGTTAATGCAGGAGCCTCCTCACGTTAGAATTAGTAGAAGCCCTGGAATGAAGTGTGGTGATTCTTTTCCAGGAAGATTCAGTTATTTATTCCTGCAAGGCAAATTACCCTAATTCTTAGTGGTTTAAAACAAACATAGTCATTAATTTGCTCATGATCTTGCAATTTGGACAGGGCTCAGTAGGGACAGCTTGTCTCTGCTCCATATGACGTGAGCATGGATAGCTTGACTGAGAGTGGGCCATTTACCTCCAAGGTAGCACATTCACATGGCTGGCAGGATGCAGCTTGGCTGGGGACCCCTCCACACGGTTGCCTGGGCTGCTTCATAACATGGCAGCTAGGTTCCAAGAAGGAAGAAGTATTGCTGCCTGATCTTCATGCCTGGGCTCCCAGTCTTAGAATGGCACTTCCACCTTCCGCTGGCTAGAACAATCAGGCCCAGCTCATATTCAAGAGGGAGGATGGGAGGAGCGACACAAGCTGATAGGAAGGGTGGAATTCTATTTGAGGTCATCTTTAGAGACTAGCTACCACAAAGAACCACCCACCAGGGTCTTTTTTCTCTTTCTTCCTCGTTCTCACTCCATAGAAGCCTGTCTTTAATCACAGTATGAGCTAGTGGTGAAAAATAATGGGAAGAAATTTAAGAACAATTAAAAAAAATGGATTCTAGGAATACATGCACTTTAGGGGATTGTGGCTTGAGAATAAATTACTGTGTAGCCTGTTAGGCAGTTGTGAGATTCATGATTATTGGTGTGTTTTTTCATGGCTTTATTAAAATTTTTACTTCCAGAATTGTTGTATAGAGTTTCCTTATTTTTGTTTCTCTTAATTGTGTTTTTCCAGTATTGATTAGGGAAAATTTAGCAGTTATACTTTCTAAGAAAACAGAGAAAAATAAAATTACTATTAAAATAAGTCAGTTATTCATGGCTTATTTTGAACAATGAAAAGAATTACTTGGATTAAATATTTAACACTTTCTATGACCATTTTTTTTTTTAAAACAAAAACTAAGAATTTGGGGATAGTGACACTAGATTATCATCAGCCATTATTTATCAACAAGTTTGGCATAGTGTTTTAGAAGGAAATAGTTAATTTATTTTAAAGTTGGCAACTTCTAACAGGAAGATAATCCTTGTTAATTTCTGTTCTTAATAATTATTTAAATTTCTATTTGTTTAGTGCTTACACATTATTTACTTGTGACATGGCCTGAATCTGTGATCAGAGATAGGAGTAATCTGAGTGATCAATTAATTATAAAAATTAAATGCATATGGAAAGCTAGGCCCAGTATTTGGCTAAAAGGAGGATTTTAATTCATAATCTTTACTAGAATAATTTCTCCATTAGGAAGAATGCCAGAAATGACAAAACCTATTTAAAAAATTTTAATTTTATTTATTACTGTTTGGAAAACAGAGCTTTGCTTGTTCTTTTCAGCTGTTCCCTGATGGACCCTTAAAGTCCGCAGTTCTATTTCAGCCTAATTTCTGAAAATGGCTGTATCATATTTTCACAGTGAGAGAGCTAGTAGTAGCCAAAGGACTAAGTGTTTGCACATGCATCATCTGCTGTGCAGCTTCCTTCCATTTAGAGGAATGGCCTTATATTTCACAGTGAGGCTTCACCTGTTGCTCCTTTTTTGGGGTGTCAGAATCTAATTGTTGTGGTCTTTTAGCAGGGGCTGTGTCCACAGCCTGTCAGATGTTTGTGTTCTACAAGGATACTCAGGCATCAGTGACATTTGGAAGCATTTTTACGTTAGCAAGGAAAATCCCTGGCATGGCTTGGATTGCATTTCTCCCAGGGTGTTCCCTTAGTCACTTAATACTACTAATTTACCTGAAGGAATGCTGTCAAAATAAATCAAATGGTAATTTTAAAAGACTCTGTTTTACTTACGTAGCTATTAGTCTTTATTCAGTTAAGAAAATTAGTTTGGAAATACGAATCTTGAGCACGAGAACAGTCATGTAGCATTTTATTTTAGCTTAATGCTCTCTTGTCATTTTGCTGCTGTCACTGTTTGAATGGTTAAGTGTGGGAAATAAAAGAACTCATATTTTATTATGTTTGATTCAACGAGAAAGGCTGTTTTAGGTTAGTGTAAAATTCCAATGGTAGAAATAAAATTCGATCCCACATGTTAATGTGACCTGCTTCTCAAGAGCCTCTTTGAAGGCTATTTTGGTGCATGTGTAGGATGAACTTGGTGCATAGGATAATAATAATTGACACCTGTCTGGTGCTACTCTGAACCAAGAACTGTTTGTAAGTGCTTTGCAGATACTAATCTACATACAAGCCTGTTTTTATAGTTTCCATTTTACAGATGGAAAAATTGAGACACAAAAGGTGATAGAAACATACCCAAGGCCACACAGCTACTCAGTGTCTGAACTGGGGCTTGGTTTTGGCTGCCTGGCTTCAGTAGGCTCTGGCTTTTGACTGCTATATGACACTCCTTAATCAGAGTAAGTTACTCTCTCTTAGTCTTTTTTTCCATTTATGTTCAACCAAGCTTCAAATACTTGATGCTCAAGTTGGCAGTCATTTCAGTCTTATAAAGCTTATTTTTTATTGCTCCAGTTGTCAAAAAAGCTTTGCTTGTTTAACATGTTTGGTTGATGAAAATAAAAGAAGTCGATGAAAATAAAAGAACAGATTAAACATGTTGATAATAGTGCTAGACATATTAACCAATAACAGCATGTTAAGAATAAGTTTCAAAGTAAAAAGAATGTAAGCTCCAATATAGTGCAGTTATCATAAAGTCTAGTGAATGGTACTCTGTCACACATACTGTTTAGATTGTAGAAATTACAGCCCTTAAAAATTTAATATGTTTAAACTAGTCCTTAAGTGAATTCACATCTCTTTTCAAGAAAGTATTATTTATTTTTGCCATACTATAGAAGTAATAACAGACCATTTTAGAAAATCTAGGGAGTATTATATGGTATAAACAAATAATTTTTGTATAATTTCACCATTCATAGGTAAATACTTCATTAGCATTTAAGTATATTTTTCTTCCAGACTTCATTCTTACATTCATTCCTTCAATAATCACTTATTGATTATCTTCTAGGAGCCAAATGTGTTTCTAGGCACAAGGGCAAAAGCAGTGACCAAAATAGTCTCTCTCTCTGTGGAGTTTATACTTTAATAGGAGGAACAGACAGTGACTAATTGTGTCATATAATGTCAGGAGGGAAAAGTGCTTTGAAGAAAAATGAGGCTGGGTAAGAGAACAGAGGCACAGAGGTTGCCGTTTGGGGGCAGATGGTCCCAGAGGACGCTAGCTGGTGTGAGGAAAGGGATCCTGTGGGGAGGATGTTACCGGAAGGGCACAGCCAGTGCAAGGTCCCTGCTGTGAAAGGCTTGGTGTGTCCAGGGACTGGCAAGGAAGCCAATGTGACAGGAGTGTGGCATGTAAGAGAATGCTGAGAAATGACAGAGGAGAGGTCACAGAGGCTTGCAGCCTATAGAAATAAGGGCTTTGCATCTCACTGAGTGAGATGGAAGCCTTTGGAGGGGTTGGAGCAGAGGAGTGATGTCATCTGGCTTGGGTTCTAGCACAGTCTATCTGGCTGCCCTGGTGAGAATAGATTGCAATGGGACAAGGTGGCTGGGAGAAAGGTTTGGTTGCTGGTGATGAGCAAAATGGTCAGATTCAGGATGTTTTTAACAGGATTTGGAGATGGATTAAATGTGTGGTATGAGAAAAATAGAAGAGTCAGATATGATGATAACCTCGTGTTATCGGTTGAAACATTGCCCTCTCCCCCCATTCAAATGTTGGAAGTCCTAAGCCCCCAAACCCCAAAATGTGACCAGCTTTGGAAATAGGGTCAATGCAGATAGAATTATTTAAGATGAGGTCACACTGAAGTGTGTGAGGGGCGAGCTAATCCAATATGACTGATGTCCTTATAAAAAGGGGATATTTAGGGATAGGCATATACAGAGGGAAGATATGTGAAGACGTAGGAATACCAGCATGCATATGCCAAGGAGTGCCTGAGGCTCCCAAAGTTAGGAGAGAGGCATGGAACATATTCTCTCTCACACCCTCAGAAGGAACCAACCCCACTGACACCTTAGTTTCAGACTTTTGGCTTCCAGAACTATGACACAATACATTTCTTTTGGTTAAGCCACCCAGTTCTTGTGGCACTTTGTTACAGCAGCCCTGGTAAACTAATGCGCTTGGGGAGCGACTTGGTTGACAGGGGTACCTTTCAAGGTGATGACTATCAGGAAGGAGCAGGTCTTGGCCTTTGGGGGAGGGAGAGGGGACTCAAGATGTGCTAAGTTTGGGAAGCCTTTTAGCTATTGCCACAGGGTGTTGATGAGGCAGTCAGACATGCAAGGGCAAGACCAGACTATATTTGGGCACACTCCAGATGGCAGTGAAAGTCATGGGTCTGAATGAGATCACCAAGAAAAGTGTCGTAGGATCAAGTTAGCCCTGGGAACTGTCAACACTGAGAGGTCGGGTAGAGTGGGGAGACCGAGCGGGTTGGCGGTGAGGTGCGAAGAAGGCTGGCAGGGTGTGGCATCTCAGCTGCCCCCGGAAGGAGTGGTGAGGAAGGAGGGTCTGGGTCTCGGTGGCCAGCGCTGCTGTTGGTCAAGAAGGGGGAGGCCCGAGAACCCCCACTGGATTTGGCCACCTAGAGGTCACTGACAACTCTGACAAGGTCAGATGCAGTGGGAAGGTGGGGGCGCAAGGCTGACTGGAGGGAGTTTAGAGAAAGTGGGAACTCATTTAAACTTGGCTTTTACATCACAAGCATTATTCCATGCCATTAAAAGTCTCTTTTAAACAGAGGCTGGAAAGGATGTGTGGGTGGGAGGAGAGGTGAAGACAGGTTGGTGAATGGGCACAGATGCACAGGCAGAAGGAATAAATTCTAAGTTTGATAGCAGAGCAGGGTGAGTGAAGTTAACAATGTACTGTATATTTCAGAATAGCTAGAAGAGAGGACTTGAAATGTCCCCAAATACCGAAGGTGATGGATAGATACCTCACCTACCCTGACTTGATCGTTACCTGTTCTGTGCATGTAATGAAATATCACATGCATAAATATGTACAAATATTTATGTGTCAATAAAATACTCTTTAAACATTGTTTTTAATGATAGTATCACAGTCCATGATTCTTACCTATTCCCTGTTTGTTTTATAAGTTTGTAGTCTCGGGGGTGGGGGGGTGGTCTTTCCTAACTCTAATTTTACCACTGTATGTTGAATGTTATACTTCAGTAGGCATATTTGAATATAAAATTTCCTAGATTAAAAATGATAAGACACAGCTGGATGATTATTTTTAGGGCTTAATCCTAAACTGTGGCCAATTCACAGAAAGTCTGTACCAGCGTACACCCTCCTCAGCAGTGTGGGAGTGTGTTTGTCTCATTGCACACCTCTCTTCCTCTATAAAGTGTTAAGTTATAACAGCGATGGTGGGTGCTATGGGCTGAATTGTGTTTCCTCAAGATTCATGGGTAGAAATCCTAATCCCCAGGATCTCAGAATGTGACAGTGTTTGGAATCAGAATCTTTAAAGAGGTCATTGAGTTAAAGTGAGGCCATTAATGTGGGCCTTAGACCAGTATGACTGATGCTCTTATAAGAAGAGGAAATTTGGACACAGAAATGTGGAGACACAGGGGAAAGATGGCCATCTGCAAGCCAAGGAGAGAAGCCTCAAAAGAGACCAGCCCAGCTGATGCCTTGACCTTGGACTCCAGAATTGTAAGAAAATAACTTTCTGTTATTTAAGCCACCTACTGTGGCCCTTTATTATGGCAGCCCTAGCAAACTAATACAGGGCATCAATGTTTTGTTCCTGATTTACAGACTAATGTCTCTGGTGGTTATGTATCATTCTAGAACAACACACTAGATACATATTTAGGAATATATGATGATTCTTCCTCCCAAACCTGATCTCCCAATCCTGAATCAGTAGAGTCTATTTCAGTTTTGCTGTTTTGCTGCTTTGTGGCAGGTTTTACCACTAACACGTGGCCTCACACTCTGGGGCCAGGTCTGTGCGTTATTTATCTTTCTCAGCTTTCAGGTCTCGTGGTTAAGTGCCTGGTCTCAGGGAGGTCTTGCCTAACTCCCAGAATCCCACTGAATTCCTAGCTCCCAGGATCAGTTCCCACTGCACACTATTCTCTTTCGTAAAGGCTTGTGATCGTTACAGTCAGTTTCCTTGTGGGTTGGTGGGGCTGGGCTGTGAGTGCTACAAGACAGGTGATGTTTTCTTGTCTCCAGTTCTAGTCCCAGGGCATGTGTGTGACAGTGTTTGGTGCATAATTGTCACTCAGTATTTTGTTGAATGAATGATTAAGGCACAGGTTGAATTTAGCATATTGTCCAAGGACATGGAGCTGAGGGGGAGGGGTCCTCAAATCTGTGCATCCCTAGAGCCCAGCCCCTCCCACCCTACCTGCTTGGGAGATGAGCTTGGGCAGGGAGGTGGATGGTCACAATTTTAGATTTTTTATCTTCAGCTACGTAGTAGCACCTCAGGGAAACAAACCATTTCTAAGAATTTTTGTATCCTTTATGGCCTGTATATAATAATTCACAAACATTTGCTGATTGTCCTATTAAGGCGCCCTTGTTCCTACTATACCTTTATTATTATAACATATGGTGATTTTTTTTTCTATACTTATGTGTCTTCCCTATTGGACTCTGATCTCCCTGTGAGCAAGAAATTTGTCTTGATCTTTTATACAGTTCTTGGCACAATACTAGCATTAAGGGGGGGTCCTCAATTTTTTAATAATGAATAAACAAAGATAATATGGATGGGATTAAAACAAATTTATGGATTGTTTAGAAACATTGTCTTCCTTTGGTTGAACTATAAAGGTGTCAGTTATAACAATACTTTATACGTGTATGATAGTTTACAGCCGGTAAAACCCAAGATTTGTCAAAAACTGGTATTCATTGTACATATGTACTGTCATGAATGCATAAAGTAAAATTATACTATTATTAGAGAAGGTGCTTAAGGAATGAATGGCTGAATGAGTATTGAAATAACATTGTATTTATTCACATATTATCGGTACTTAAAAAACTTGTAATATCACTTCATTCTAATTTTGAATGGCTATATGATACCATATTTTACTCAACCTTTATGGTTCTTTTGACTTAAAAAATTATTTTGTAACCTTAATACTTGTGCCCCCATAATACACTAAAAAAAATGAAAAACATTATTTCTTTTCTTTTTTTTTTTTAACATGTTTGTGGGGTACATGTGAAGATTTTTTGTTGGTATAAATAACACTGCTGTGGACACCTGGACATATGTATGCACATAATTATTTCCTTTTTTCTTTTTTGGAAACAGGGTCTCATTCTGTTGCCTGGGCTAGAGTGCAGTGGTGTCACCATAGCTCACAGCAACCTCAAACTCCTAGGCTGAAGCGATCTTCCTGTCTCAGCCTCCCTGTTAGCTATTAGCTGGGACTACAGGCATATGCCAATATGCCTGGATAATTTTTTTATTTTTTCTAGAAAAGTGGTCTTGCTATTGCCTAGACTGGTTTTGTACTCCCAGCCTTAAGCGATCCTCATGCCTCAGCCTCCCCAAATGCTCGGATTACAGACATGAGCCACCATGCCTGGCTTCCTTTTTTTGATGATTAGGATAAATTTCTAGAAATTAGGCTACTGAAATATTTGAAACATATTCTTAAACTGCTTTCTAAAAGGCTTGAATCATTTTACTACCACCTTTGCAGGATTTTGCATTAATATTTTTAATGTTTTCTTAAAAAAATTAAGTAACCATAATCTCTCCTTGTTTCAGTTTGCATTTTTTTGATGACTTCATTAATTTGGATGTTACTCCACAGGTTTGTTTACTAATTTCATTTCCCTTTGTTATTTCTGTCCTTATTTTCATTTTTTGATTTTTGGTCTTAGTTTCTTAAAGACAACTCTTCTTAATTTTTTTTTATATAATAGCATTTTTAAATATTTTTTCTGGTTTTCTTTTGCTATTTTAAATTAAGTGTTAAATGTTTGTACAGTCTAACTGTAGATCTTTAACCTTTTTTTTTTTTTGCTTTGCCTTGAGCTTCTACGTCTTTAAAAAGAAATCTTCATAAAAGGACAGTAATAAGACCAAAAACAGAATCCAGAAAAACTGCTGGTTGTTTTTTATTACACAACTTGTGATTTAATCATGTTATATTCTGTGAGTGATTTTATAGTTATTGATGGCATTGGGAGGGGTGTGTTTGGCCCCAGATGACCACCTATTTTAAATTAAATCACATGGTAACAGCCACTCCTGCTGAGCTCAGCCTTAGAGAACCTCAAGCTTGCTCTTGGGGAATTGGTTAGACAGGGGCTGAGTACTTGACATAAAGGCATTAAACTCCTGACCGAAACCATGAGATTCTGCACACAGCCTTTGTGACTTGTAGTACATGTAATTTGTACTGTGCTCAACTATCTGTCCGCTTGGTGCTTACTTGAGAGTAGATGAGAAAGGCAGATAAGTAGGAAAGGTGGTGAGAAAGCCCATGTGGCTTGACAATCTGAATTGGAGGAGAAAGAACAATGAAAGCAAACACACACCCTCATGTATTTTCAAATGGATTTTCATAACCATCAAAACCCTGTAAAGGTTATTAAATGTATTGGTGCTTAATGAGGCATGGTTCACCTACCTAGAACATTCGGGTGTGTGGAATACTTCATTATTCCAGAAGGTTGGATAGAAAAGGCATTGGGATGTTATGCTAATATTTTCTTCCTTTTTTGGGATATTGGAGGAGGCTGACCCAGAGATATTTACAAGGAAAGTACAGATTTGTTTGGGTTTGGTACAACGAGCAGACACAGTGAGACTAAAATGTGTGACCTCATGCTATGTTTCTTGTGATCTGATATCTTAGTGTTATTGAATAACTTCAAAGGGCAGCTGGGAATTACTGTGAAGACACACACAGCAAAGCAATTTCTCACCTGCTGTCTCTGATCACAGAAGACACAGTTAGACTCACATTTCTCCCCAGGACACATGCGGTAGACATGCTGCAACTTGTTTGGAGAGAAAGGCAAGGGGCAGAGAGTCACACTGCACTGTGTGGGCTGAGGCAAGTTTTAAATATAACTAAGGGTTGCTTTTTTAGAATTAAAAGCAGTAGAAGCTGAGCTTCAGGGCATGGGTTACTTCCTAAAAATACAGTCACTGAACTTTTAAAGAATGTTAGTATCAGCTTGTCAAACTGGAGTAGATTCAAAGGTGGAAGAAATCTGACACTATTTTACTATTTGGGGCAAAAATGGAGAATTTACTCAATTTTCACTGTTTCAAATGATGAAAGAATATTTTCAGAAGACCAACCTGGTAGCCAGGATGGAGTAGGATAACGTTGCCTAACCTGCTCACTCAGATCTTGATGTCAGTGGGCTTTCTGCAAGCCTGGTGTGTACAAACTGAGTTCATCATTGCCTTGGTAGCAGTTTTGGCCACTTTTGGCTGATGACACTCGCATCCTCACTCCTTCACCTTGTGGATCAAGGAGCAGGTTTTAACTATCTTCAGTTCTCACTGGCTTTTTCTGTTAGATTATTTAAAAAAAATTATTTTGATTATGAACAATTAAAGTACAAAAAAATCCCAATAGTAAATACCTATGTCTCTATCACACACAGTTAATACATATTTACTTGTTGTCATATTTGCTACCCATCTTTCTTTCTTTTTTTTTGTTTTAAAGAAAAATGTATTCCAATTAAAGTATTGTTCTACTTCCCTCCCAGAGGTCATGAACTTAGTGAACTTTAGTGAACTTTAGTGAACTTTGTGTCACTCTAGTACATATTTTTATACTTTTGTTCATTTCATATGTATCCATAAAAGCAAGTGGTATTGTTTTAAAATTCATGTGGACTGTTACTATAATATGAACATATAAAGGACAGTAATATAAAGTAGCATTCTGTAATTTGCTTTCTTCAGGCAGTGTTATTTTTAAGATCCATCCATGTTGCTAGGTGCAGATGTACATCATAATTTTAACTGCTATCTAGTATTCCATTGTATGAACATACTATAGTTTATTCATCAATTCATCTATCAGTGCCAATATTTTGCTGCTATAATTATTGTACAGTGAATATTCATGTATATGCCTCCTTGAACCTATGACAGCCTAGAAGTGAAATTGCTGAGTATTAGGGTTTTCACATTATAACCATAGTAGATATTGCCAAATTGCTTTTCATAGAGGTGGGTATAAAGTATGTCCCCACCAGCAGTAAGAGTTCTCATTTTCCTATGTCTTTGCCTATCTGTTTCCAAGATTCCTTCCCCAGTGGTGGTAACAGACATTTTCCCAGTCTCTTGAAGGTGGAATCACGTCTTTATATTTTGATTTGCAGTTCTCTGATAATTGAAGAAGTTGAGTATCGGTTTATGTTTATTTGCCACTCAGATTTCATCATCTGGAAATAGCTGGTTCATATGCTTTTTTCATTTTTTGTTTATTGTTTTCCTACTTGTAGAAATTCTTGATATATCTGGTTATTAATCCTTTGTTAAATATCCTTTGTTAAATATGTTACAAGTACTTTCTCTTTGTCATTTGTCTTTCAGTTTTGTGTATGATGGCTTTTAAATTTTGTACAATCAAGTTTGTCGGTCCTTTTTGAGTTTTACTTTGCATTTCACATTTGAGAAATTCTTCCTACCCCAAATCATGAAG